TTTGTCTCATACATACAGCCCACACATTCGAGGGTTCTACTAGCGAGACAGGAACTATGAAGTTATCATTTTCAACTAATATGCTGTTTCATGACTTGAGCACCTAGGTCATACTCATCTGTATGCAGCTGGTTGTGGGGATCTGCAACACTACTATCTAGTGCAGATCCACGTGATTGTTTAGTTGACATCTCAAAGGTTCGACTCTCGATAATATTCCGCTGAACCAAGAGAATGAGCACTGAAGACCTTAAACCCATGATACGCTCGGGTAATCACGAATGTGCCACTAGTCCCTCAATTTCTTAAAGACCTACCAACAGTACCATTTTGGCATCATTCAAAGCAAGCCAACTCGTACTGAATCATTAGTACATTGGGGATCAGCTCCTGAAATTTGACAAAAAGTGTATCAAGCACCGGATCAGCTCTCCTGTGATTTTATTTGGCGCTGCACCCAAGAAGACCTCATGGTAAGGGTAGTAAGACGTAGACGAGAGAACTTACTGATTTTTTTGTCCTCCAGGGACAGCCAATATTCTTGATCATCTAACCGATCTGTGTCCGCGCTGATCGGTGTAGTCCCATTAATCCAGCAGAATGNNGGTACGTAACAGGAAAGGGGCTCGAAGACGTACGATTTCAGGGTAACAATGGTGAAGCAGATAACCAACAAGGCAAAAGAGAGCAAATAAGAGCAACGGTCTGCAAAATCATCCAAGCCGACAGAATCGACAAAACGAAGTTTGTCCAACTGTGTAATAAACTCCAGGGCGACCATGTTGAAACTGGAAGGTAAAAAGCAGTGAATAGAGTGAATTTGAATCAACAACAGTTCTGCACATAGATAACCGAATCCCCACCAACGCATCCGAATGGAAAATCTACGATAGCGCCAAAGTTGGAAATAAATTAGTGCCTAAGTGGTCGTGATAACTGGACCTCGAAGTGGATACTTAGTGTCATGGGAACAATGTTGCCCCCTCAAAGCGGGGCACGCAGTAATTGTATTGTACTTTATTAACTTCTGCAGGCAGGAGGACTATATTTCATGTAAGTAATGAGAAAACCAAAAAGAAAATAGCAACTTCTTACAGACCATTAACCATGTACTTTCGTGAGCCGGTTTTGGTTGCTGTCTTTCGGCTGCTCGTTTGGATAAGAGAGCAGAATGAAGATTAGAATGTTGTAAGCAGATTCAAGCGGAAGATGGACAATTCACATAGAATAGTGATCGAGCAATAATAAGTGGATGTACGAGTGCACTGTTTGCGACACCCAGCCATATCACTCAGTGTCTCTAACCATCCGTGACAATCATCCCGAGGTTCCCAGCAAGGGAGCCTAACGGGACCTATCTGACCTAGTCTCCTGGTTAGGGTTTTCACACCGTCATGCTAGGTCTCACTTTGACCATCCTTGATCTTTTTCCAACCGCTACCAGCCAACCAACGTAATCTACGGAGGTCGATCACCTGCTACAGTGGACAACCGCGAATGTCTCAAACTCTACGCATAACCTCGGCATTGTTCGTCCGGTTACCCCACCAGACTCGTGCAATGCGACGTAGACAGCGGTATTCGAACACCGATAATCTATTGACAAAGTATAGAAAATCGGTTCTCGTAGCTCGGGTGAACTGAATTCTATTTCGCCTGTTCGCCGAAATTGGCAATTTGTTTGCGAACGTTTCATCACCAGCCGAGGTGACATCATCAATGTTTGTGTCGATGTCGCCTCGGCTGATGATAAAACGTTTGCAAACCAATTGCCAAGCTCGGCGAACGGGCGAAATGGAACCGATAACCTAATTTTATTTTGTTCCTGTGAAGGCCGTCTCAGCACCGTAGAGCAGGACTGGCCGAACTGCTGCAGCATACACTCGACCCTTCACGAACAGCCAGATGTCGCGACGGCACCACAAATCTACAAGTTGCCTAATGCCAACCGAGCATTTTGTATCTGCGCCCACACATCATCTCTGATGCGTGGGCCAGGTGAGATATAGCTGCCCAGATGGAAAAATCTGTCGACTTCCTCCACTGCTTCCCCAGTTAGGGTGAGAATGGGTGCTGGATCAACCCAATTTGGAGCTACACTACAGTTTGAAGGTGCAAAACGCATACCGAATATGGCTACACTGACGTTCAACTTATCCAGAAAGGCTTCTACCTTACCTGGATCTTCACTTCTTAGCACAGTATTGTCTGCATATTCTAGATCAGACAGTCTGCATCTGGAAGTAAATCGATACCGCTATCCTCGCATGAGAATAGAGCTGTTTTCATAATCAGATCAATAACAAAATCAAATAGAAAAGGAGAGAGAGGGCAATGCTGTCGAACAACACTTTCCATGGTGAACTCGGGCGAAAAGGTGTCCTAAGCTCGGGCTCAACTTCGGCTATTAATACAAAGCGATTTTAATATTGCGATTGATTTCTCGCACACACCCTTCAGAGGAAGACAGCGATGGAGTTTACAGCGGTCGACTGAGCTGTAAGTCGCTTTCAGATACAGGAAGACAGAGATGGTGAGTCAACGAAAGGAATGTCGGCGCTCAAGAGTTTGTCGAAGAGTAAAGATGTGGACGATACAACCTCGACTAAGGCTAAAGCCAACCTGGTTCTAAGGCCTGCACCGTTCACGTGCGGCAGACAATCGACGGAGTATGATCCCAGCGAGAAGTTTAGAGACGATGTTGATTAGACTAATTCCTCCGTGATTTTACAAGAGGATCTGTCACCTTTCTTGTAAATCGGTATGATGCCCGATTCACAACATTCAGTTGGAACACGTTGTCTCTCCCATGCTGAGCTAACGAGTTTTGACTGCGGGACTATGACTGAGCCTCCATCCATAAAGCCGATCGGGAAAGTTCGTCTGAGCCGGAGGCTTTATGCCTTCAACAGCTTTCAGTATTGTCGGCGGTGGGTGTTTATTGTTGCGTCTGGTCACTCTGCCCTTGCACCTCGCGAAATGCTCTCATACGAACAAGCGTCTCGATTAGCCTCTGCTGAGAAAGCCCTACTCATTGCCTTCTCGCGTCGGAGGTGTTTTCCCACCAAAGTGAGAGGACGAAGAGCCGATGTCCGGGGCTATAACCGGGTTGGTGGACCATTGGCAGTTCATCAAGGGGAGTTGGCCAAAAACCCAGATTCCAAACCAACCATGAGGAGGCGTACGAACCACACAACCGCCTGGTTATGGCAGTGGTCACCGGCTCGATTGGGCATCGAGGTGTGTTGAGCACCTTGGACGTCTGACTCTGTCCAAAGGGCGTATGATCCGATGAACTGGACACCGGCTCCCAATGGATTGTGGTTTTCGCACACCGCCCCGCTACCTTGCGGGTCAGGCTTTGGCTAGTCGAAGGCTCTGGTTGTAGATTCCTCAAGAAAATTCACCTGCCTTGACCTGGACAACCTGGTAGAATTCAGCCCACATGGATATCATGGAACGTTTTTTCTTTTTCATAAAGATTATGGTACCATGATTTGTTTGGCACACAGCCTGTCCTCAGACAAGTGTGAAATATAATAATAATAAATAATCGTGTCTGGCATGCCGGTCTGCAGGCTAAACTTCCTAAGTTTGGCTTTACTTCGGAACTTGTATCCTGGGCAGCAAGCTATCTCAAGGATCGCAGCATCTCCGTCAGAGTAGATGGGACCATATTTCGTTCCGTGCCTGTGAATGCTGGTGTTCCCCCAATGTTCTGTACTTCCCCCTTCACTTTATGTTGATGTTTATTGATGGCCTTCCTTCAACTTCAAATCCTATTCAGGCCTTTGCCGTTGACGCTACCCTACACTCTTCTCTATCCTATTTGTCTTCGCGCATAGCTAACTCCAGCATTAGAGACGACCGCTTCTCCCTTAGTTTCTCCCCTAATTCGGATCTGGGCCTTATTTCTGCTTTGGGCTGTCGCAACCGTGTTCTGTTTAATGCCAGTAAAATTTCCATGTCCATTTCTCTTAAACACGCATCTTTCTCCCCCTCCTTGAACTTCAACTCGAACACTCTTCGTTCCACAGAACCATGCAACCTATCGGGTCTTTCCTTATCTTCTTCTCTTTCATGGTCACCTTATATCTATTTACTTGCCTCCCGCGGTGCGCACACAATCAGCTTCCTCTTCCACGCCAGACGTTTCTTCACCCCCATTCACCTCCTCTAAGCTTACAAAGCTCAGATTCGAACTACACTTGAATACTGCAGTCATGTGTGGGGTGGAGCTTCGTCCACCTCTTTCTCTTATTGATCGGGTCCAACGTAAGACCATTCGTCTCATCAACGACCCGTCCCTAACATGCAACTTGCAGTCACTAGCTCACCGTCGAGCAGTCGCTTCTTTATCCTTATTCTATCGATACTGGATTCAGACGTGTGTTAAAATATTAATAATATAACAGAAGTAATCGCTCTATACCGCCTCCAATGTCTTGGTCACGTATTGCCTATGCCTGCCGACCCACTACTTTTCCGTGCTCTGTTTGCACATGCCAAGCAAGGTTAGAGGAAGCGCCGCAGCGGTCGGATCATGACATGGCGTAGAGATCTGAAGAAGCTGGCTTCAGCTTTGGCTTTGGTTGGTGCAGCTCGCCTTCCATGCTGGGGCCCAAGCTATGTGAACCGTCGATGTCTAGGGACATTGAGAGAAATGGCTCAGATTGGATGTCAGTGGCGCGAATCCTGTGCGGTTTGTTTTTCGAAACCCAGTTCCCCATAACAAAAAATATCTTCGAAAATTGTACGGTGAAACTATAAAATCATTCATTCATTCATCATCATCATCGTACAGCGAAATACCGTGAAGCGAACTTCATTGACCGCTGCCAAACTTACAATGCATTCAAGTTTAGTGGTAAAATTTAAGGTGGACAGGGGTTGGATCTATTTTGAGGAAGGGAGAAGAAGATGAGCCACTATGGGCAACATACAGAGTTCGTTCTCCATGTTCTCTGTTTTCCCCATTCTCATTTTATCTTTCTTTACCCCTCGATAACTTCATTATCATTGTTTTGCATTGGCACTATTCTTGTTCTCAAGCCAGTGTGATATATTTACATATATATGTATGCTGTTCGCCATTTCCATTCCCCGGGCTTGAGTTACCGGTTCCCAGGATGAAACAACAGGTCTTCGTGACTGTGGGGTTCGCCCTGCCTGCTGTTCATCACACACATATGTGTAATGGTAAAAATTTCGGGTAGGAGACATTCGTCGCCTAGTGGTTTGTGACAATCGATGCTTACTTAGCCTGGAAGTAAATCGATACCGCTATCCTCGCATGAGAATAGGGCTGTTTTCATATTCAGATCAATAACAAAATCAAATAGAAAAGGAGAGAGAGGGCAACGCTGTCGAACAACACTTTCCATGGTGAACTCGGGCGAAAAGGTGCCCTAAGCTGGGACTCGGCTTCGGTGCGTAATAGAGAAAACTCAACTGATTTCAGCACGCGCTGAAACAAAACTGCTTGGTGCACTGGGAACGACTGCAAGCCATACAAAATATTATTAGAGGATAGCACGGAAGCTTCCACCAGTGTTGCCAGATCTGGGAATCTTTTTCGACCAACCAAGCAAAAGAACCCTTGCAGGATTTTTACTACGCAAATGAAGAGGCTTCTTATCGTTTGTACTATCGAATACCGACAAAGCTTATCAGCCATCTGACGGGATAAAACTCCTCTATATGGGTGAATCCGTGCTTGTGGATAGCAGTGGAATGAATTCAGAGTGAACTGTGGGACCATACATATTTGTTTCCAACCGT